TCTCGACGGGCTCGGCGGCAGAGGCCCCCACGGGCCGGGCCCTCTGGGCCTGCAGGGCCAGCTGGTAGGCCACCTCGAACGCCTGCCCCAGCGTCAGGATGATCTCGTAGGTCAGGGTCTGGGAGGAAAGAGCGCGCTCAGCTGACGGGGGCTCCCTGGGCACCCCTCCCCCCAGCACAGGCTCGGGGCACCCGACAGGGCACAGAGCAGTCCTTTCTGCCCCACAGCAACTGACATATCAGGGAGCAGCCTGAGCCCAGCACACGTTCTGTTTCCTCGGAGAGACTAGGTGAACGTGACCCTGCACCCAGCCGACCAGGTAACCGGGAGACAGAAACTGCCCAGGCGGCCACGGCCCACCTCTGACCCCTCAAGGCCGCAGCAACACTCCACAGGCGGCCTCAGGCCCTGCGGGGAGAGCCCGTGGGGACTGGTGTCGCGCACTCTTCAGCACTTTAGTTAGAACAAAGGGGCTGGGCTTCCATTCAGCTCCTGTTCCTTCTGAACGTGTCACACGCAGATGTGTTTCTGCGTGTTGTGCCCTGGGTTTTACTGCGATTTCACAGGCCCGGGCCTTCAGGAGCGCGTGTCAGAGCTGACTGACGTGAGAAAAGCGAGCGACAGGTGAGTGCCAAGGACACGAGGATGGGGCGCGCTCCTTTGCCCCCCCCCCAACCCCACGAGGTGGGCGCATCACGCCCTCTCCAGACCAGGGGCCTGACGCCCGCCGGGAACCAGGTCAGACTCCAGAACTGCCTCAGGGCACAGGGAGTCCTCCTGCCCATCCCTGAGCCCAGCCCCTGAGCCAGAACGGGCAGGAGGGCACCTCAGGAGCTGCAGGGCTGGGGACTCCAAGGGGCGTCCAAGGCTGTGACTAACTGTCGCCGGAGCAGGACGGCCTGTCGCTGAGCCCCGGACAAGCCCTGTCCTCTGAGCGTCTCCCTGTGCAGAGTGGGCGGCGACGGCTGCGGGGCTGAGCCACCAGGTGGCAGGGCAGCGCGCACCGAGACTACCCACCACGTCCACCGTGCTGAAGACGTGGCAGTAGTGGTGGCCCGTCTGCAGGTCCTTGGTGATGTAGGCGAAGGTGCAGAGGTCCTCAGGGTCCTGGGCCGCGCAGGAAATGTTCCGGATCTCGTGCTCTGCGATGACGTTCTGTTGAGGAGAGGGGCCTGGAATCCGGGCTCCCTGACATCGCCGCCTTCCTCTGCCCCCCACCCCCCGGGTGGGGATGGGGCGGTGGCATCTAATCTCACCCGGTTTAGGTTTGGGGTCTCCCCCTTTGAGGAGGCAGCTGACGGACTTTCCAGCCCTCCGCCTCCAGGTGGGGCGAGAGGGGAGGGCGTTGGCGGGTAGGCTGCCCGACATGGGGAGCCCTGTGCTCAGTACAGGACCCCCACCACAAAGGCCCGTGAGCATGCAAGCGGGCGAGGGAGACCACGTTGGGAAGACATGCAGGGTGGGGACCAGTGTGCGGCCAGGATCGGGGTGTGGGTGGGATGGAGAGAAACAGGGCTGCAGGGCAGGGGGAGCGCACCTTGTTGGAGGCGTCGATGAACTTGACGCCTTTGTAGGTGATGGACAGGGTGATGGTGGGGACCTTCCTCATGTGCTCGGTGGATTTCTGTAGGAAACAGGCTGTGAACGCCTGCTCAGGGCCAAGCCCCGGGGACCCAGAGCCAACAGCCTCCCCCCACCCGCCCCTGACATGGGGCCCCAGTGGCTGCAGCTGGTACCTAGCCAGCCCCGCTTCACCCCACAAAGATCACCCACCCGCATCTTGGCACAGGCGTCCTGGGTGGATTCTGTCCCTCGAAGGTCTTTGATCAACATGGAGCCCAGGTACTGTGGAGGGAACGTGCCGGGCTCAGGGGTGCCCACATCACCACCAGGGTGACCGCCCCTCCCAACGACTCCCTGCCCGTGTGGCTGGAGGCCCCACCCGCTGCTGGGGGCGTCTGAGGAGCCCCGAGCCCGAGCCGGGGGGTGCACTGAGGGCGGGGAGGAGCAGGCACTCACATTGGCTTCATAACCGCACGACTCGAAGATGAGCTTTTCCGGCCGGTGCTGCCAACTCTGCACAGGGGCGTAGGGGGCGGCCAGGCTGGGCGGCCGGAGGGTGAGCCTGGCTTCCCGGTGCTCTTCCTGCAGAACACGCAGCGTCACAGGCTGCCGGCCCCCAGCCTCCGGGCAGAGGTGAGGCCTGTCTGTCAGGGGAAAGGCGGCAGCAGGGGCCTGAGCCACCACCGCTCAGCCGGGCAGGCTCTGTGTTTTTTTGAGGGGGAGCCAGCTTCCCGCCGAGGCCCTGGCTCTGGGACTGGGGTGGGGATGTCACGGGCACCCACGGCCAGGGAGGCACTGGAGTGAGAGTCAGGGTGATTTGGGAGGGGCCACTGCAGTCCCGCGTGGGCTAATGGGGTCCTGCGTGGGCAGTGGTGGAAGGAAGGCGGGGGAGGGGCAAGATTCAGGACGTATTTACGACCCCCGCCCACCCCGCACCAGCAACGCGCAAGTCTCTGGTGCAGAGCAACTGGAACTGCCAGACCACCTCCTTTTAAATCCTGTAAAATTCATGGCCTGACGTGGAAGTGTGAGGTGAGGCAGGAAAAGGAGTGAAGCTGAAGTTCACCCTGAAGGCGAGGAGGGCCCCCCGATCTGGAGGGCACCCCGATCTGGAGGGCAGCTCCAAAGAGCAAAGGCAAGGGCTGGGGTGGCCGGGAGCCGCGAGGGCGGGAGGCACCGCAGGGCCTGGGGGGCTGTCCAAGGGGGCCAGGCGAGGGCTGGAGTGGGAGAAACTGAGGGGTGCTGGCCCGGGGGACTCTGAGGAGAGAGGCCCTGGCAGTGACAGGTAGTCCCGACGCAGCGCTGGGAGGCTCGGTGGTGACCCGGCACGGTAGCTGCTGGGGAGGCAGGGAGGAATGCCAGCCCAGCAGTGCTCGGGCCTGGGACTGCGGCTCGGAGGCCCAGAGGAAGGAGGGGACCCCGCCTGCCGCCCCCCTCCCTGCCTACCTGGATTCTGAAGCGCTCCGCCCGAGAGGGTGCCGCAGGGTCAGGGAGACTGTCCGGCCGCCTTCTGCCCGAGTCCCCAGGGGGCAGCAGCAGGTCAGCGGACCGGGCGGTGCACGAGTCATTCTGGCTCAGGGGAGACGACGTCTGGGAGAGCAGGTCTTGGCACTGCGATAGGAGAAGTCCAGGTGAGGCTCAGGGCTGCAGGTGGGGGCCGAGGCCCAGCTGTGGGCCAGTCCTGGGCTGCTCAGGGCCCTCCCCCACCCTGGCAGCACAGACACGGGACGGGAGAGCAGGGGATGGGACAGACACGGGATGGGACAGACACGGGACGGGACAGACACGGGACGGGACAGGCACGGGACGGGACAGGCACGGGACGGGACAGGCACGGGACGGGACAGGCACGGGACGGGACAGGCACGGGACGGGACAGGCACGGGACGGGACAGGCACGGGACGGGACAGGCACGGGACGGGACAGGCACGGGACGGGACAGGCACGGGACGGGACAGACACGGGACGGGACAGCAGGGGGCAGGAAAGACACAAGAAGTGCCTTCAGCTATCACAGATAAATTGTCTGCCACAACCGATCGGGGTCTCTGGAGAAACACACAGCACAGCAGGGCCAAGGCCCCCAGAGGACAGGGATCAGTGCCTCAGCGCCCACAGCTGAGCATCAGTGGCAGCTTCCCAGGGGCAGGAGGACAGAATAGCACCCCCTTTCTGAGGCCCAGGGGTGGGCAGCTCAGCCCGAAGGCGGGAGACAGCGTCCTGGACCAGGGCAGGGTCTGCCTGCTCTTGCAGCCGAGCACCTGTGAGGCTGTCAGGCCCTCCGGCCCTGCTGCCCAGGAACCTGCCTGCAGACCTGCCTCCCAGCTCCGCAGGGTGCAGGCGCGGGTCACACTGTCCACAGGGGCCCTCCTGGGGGTCTGGATGCTTGTTTTCCTGCCTTTCCCAACGGCACTTCCTACTGATTCCTTAGATGGAGGCATGCGATGGACAGAGAACCAGCCCAAACCACTGTGCCACCCCCCCCGGCCTCGGGGCAGAGGGAGGGTCCCCTGCTGAGGTCACCGTCAGACCCGTGATGCCCGCAGTTCCCACACCAGAGAGCACAGCCGCCCGCCCGCTCACCCTCAGCTGGGAGAACCTCGGGGGCTTCTGGGGCGGCTCCTCGCAGGGCCTGTCGGCGAGGG